ATTTGGTACATTGCACTTCTCTTCATCTAAAGCAATACTTATCTCTATGTATCTAAAAGTGTTCACTACCCTTCTCTCCCACCCCTGGTAACCAACAAAGAAAATTTCCTTCCATAGATAAACCTTTCCTTGACTTTGACAATAATGAACTAATACAACATTTGTCGTTTTGTGATTGACTTATTTCACTCAGCATAATGTTCTCCAAGTTCATCCATGTTATATGGTGTTTTGCAGATTCTACATTATTCTTTAGAGTTGCATAGTATTCCATTGTGTGTATGTACCATAGTTTGGTTATCCATTCCTCAGTTGATGGACACCTACCTAGGTTGTTTCCATCTTTTGGCTATTGTAAATAGTGCTGCGATGAACATGGCTGTGCATATATCTGTTCTTGTCATGGCTCTAACTTCTTATAGAGTATATACCTAGTAATGGAATGGCTGGATCAAATGGTATTTCTACTTCCAACTTTTGAAGGAATCACCACACTTCTTTCCACAGTGGTTGTACCATTTTACAGCCCCATCAGCAGTGTATGAGAGTCCCAATCTATCCACAACCTCGTCAGCATTTATTATTTTCTGTCTTGTTGAACTTTGCTACTAGTGCTGGGGCAAGATGGTATCTCACTTTGTTTTGATTTGCATCTCTCTAATAGCTAATGATCGTGAGTATTTTTTCATATGTTTATTGGCTGCTTGAATATCTTCCTTGGTGAAGTGTCTATTCATGTCTTCTGTCCATTTTTTAATTGGATTGTTTGTGTTTTTGTTATTGAGGTGTTGCAGTTTTCCATACATTCTAGTGATAAGTCCCTTGTCAGATATGTCATTACCAAATATTTTTTTCCAATCTGTAGGTTCTCTTTTGACTCTTTCATAGAAGTCTTTGGAAACATATAAAAATTTAACTTTTAGAAGGTCCCAATCATCTGGTTTCTCTTCTGCTGTTTGTGTATTTTGAGTTATTCTTTATAGTCTATTTATTCCATATATTAGGGCCCTTAAATTTGCCCCTAGATTTTCCTTGAGGAATTCTATAGTTTTAGGTTTCACATTTAAGTCTTTGATCCATCTGGAGTTCATTTTTGTGTATGGTGTGAGGTACAGATCTTGTTTCATTTTCCTGCAAATGGATCTTCAGTTTTGCCAGCACCATTTATTAAACAAACATTATCTTCCCCATTTAATAATGGGTTTTGGTCCTTTGTCAAAGATCATCTAACCATCTTCTGGTGTTTAGTTTGCTTGTTTTGTTTTAAAATTTGTATTTGTATTTGCTTTAAAACTACTATTATTAATAATACTTTTGTCCTTTTACTATTATTTATTTGTGGTAAAGATGCAACTAGAAATTATAGAGGCATGAAAATAGTTAATACTTTGTATAAGTGACAAGATGTCTCTCTTTTAACTCTGGGTTCATAGGACTAAAAGAATTAAAAGAAAACAAACAAACAGTTAAAATTTTTGTTCAGGAGTTGACTGGAAGTCTAATAGCCCATAGCTTTCTTATGGTATCACTTGAGGTTTCTCTTGACTAAAAATAAAAGATGGTACAATATTCTTAGAATAAAGTCCCTTTGCTTACCTTCACTGTATAATACCTTTTCTTGGCTTAATAGAGAATTTCTATGAGAATTGGTCTTGAATCAAACATTTCAGGAATTTAAAAAAAAATAAAATAAATAAATAAAACCTCAACAATTGTTGCTACCCAGTCAATTCTGGCTCACAGAGATCCTACAGGACAGAGTAGATCTGCTCAGAGAGTTTCCAAGATTGTAATCTTAATGGAAGCAGATGGCCACATCTTTATCCCATGGAACAGCTGGTGAGTTAGAAACCACCAGCCGCAAACATTTGCTTTGCAGCTGACGGCTTAACCACTATACCACCAGGGCTCCTTATTTCAGAAATAATAGACTATAATAATGATACATATTTTCTCTGGGAATCAGTACCCATTCAGGCCCAGTGAACTAACCTTAAGCACTCTCTATGTGTGTCTGAGCTTTACTTTGGAAAGAAAGTTAAGTAAAGGATAGAGAGGTAAGGAAAACAGTAGTAGATACTACCATTCCAATCAGAGTTTCAACTCACAGTTCTATCCATCCCTCATTCATTGATTCCTGGACCTAAATGATATCTCTCATGTTTTATGTGTGTTGTAGGATGGATAATGTAGAAACATTGGATTAGTAATCTCTTGGATTTTTAATGGAATGGTCCTAATGGCTTTAATTTTCATGCCTGGGATAAGTAATCCCATTTAACACCTAGAAAAATAAAACTTGATATAGTTATCATTACTCAGACCACTGAAAAAGGTGACAGTGCTACTAAAATCTATTATCAACAGAATACAACCAAATAGATCACTCAGTTTTTAATAGAATTTCACCTTGTTAGCTTTGTTGCTTAAGCAAAGAATTGGAAAATAAACATTTGTATGGCTTAGCGAATGGATTTTTTTTCTTTTTTAAAATTATACTTTGTGGTAATGATAATGTAGCATTCACAATAGGATCATTCCAAAACAGGAAGTGATCCAAAGGAGGATTAGCAATGAAAGTCACTAAAATATCAGGGGTCTGCATTCACCCAAAATAATGCATGTTTTTCAAAATAATGAAATAGCACAGACATTTGTAGCAATCAGCTATAAAAAAAAATAATAAACTCACTGCCATCTGGTCTGATTTGATTCATAGCAACCCCTCCTTGGGTTTCCGAGGCAGTATCACTATGGAAGTAGATTGTCCAACCTTCGTTCTGAGGTAAGATCCCAAATTATCTTCACATGAGTTAGCTATATAAGTGTTACTAATGTTAATTGTCAAAGTAAAAGTAAACGCTGCTAAGAGTAAATCCTACCTTTAGGAGATGTTCCAACTGTTGATTCTGTAACAGAATTTGCTAATAATGTTGTGCTTGGTGTTAATACAGATGTTTTAGTTATCAAAATAGCTGTTGATGATGTATGATTCGTTGTACTTTCAACATCTGGAAAAAAAGTAAATACGTTGTTATGGTTACCTAGTGCTGCTCTGACAAGAATATACCACAAATGGGATGGCTTGGACAAACAGGAGTTTATTCTTACGATTTAGAGACTTTAAGTCCAAGTTCAAAGTGCCAGGCTCTTAGGACTGTGTGAAAGCCCCTTGACCTTGGGCTTCAGCTCTGCCTCTTGCTTCCAGCCCACTGAAGCTAGAGGCTTTTCTTCACTAGGTAGCTACTGTCTGTGGAGGCTAACAAGCCCAAGGTCAACAAATAAAATGACACAGTCCCGATGTTACCAAACCACATGGAAAACCATTAATTCAAGTCCATTGTAAGTCCCAAGGTCAGCAGAGCATGGAATCCTGCTGAACGACATGGCTACATGCAGGTTCCAAGAGTGCCATAAGCTAGAGAGTATCCCCAAGGCTTCTCCTTACATACAGGAAGCAGACCACATCCTAAAAGCAGCTACTCAGCTGCTGGTGGTAGATCTCACCATGGAGCTGATTGCCAGTCTCATCATGGGGAATAACTACCACCAGCTGCCCAGCCACTCATCCAGGTCCACCCAAGTTGACATACAAATTTAACTACCCCATATGTTAAAGTAGTTGCTTTTATATTTACATTTATTTTGACAAGCAGTAGATTAGTTGAAAGTCAAAATTGTATTTTTGTTATTGTTTCATTTAATTTGTTATGACCATTTAAACAAAGTACTCAATTGTATATATATTACTGCTAACCCAGTTAGTAGGGCACAGATTTGAAATTGTTTTTCTAGTTGTAATGATTCAGCCTTTGTGTTCAGTATTCATTTACTAGCTTCACACACTTTTCACCAATGGCATGAAATTTCAAGATGGCTGGCAGGAATTAAGATGCATTGTGTATTTCTGAACCTATATAATATCTGATTAAATGAATAGGAAAGTAAATTTGAAGTTTAACTATATATATATATATATATTTAACTAATGATATTAACCATACTAGATGAAATAATTCAATGTGGCTTCTTTGAGTAACGAGTATTTCACTAAATATTTCCATATCAGACTAGTTATTAAGTAACAAAATGTCAGTATTATTATATCTTAATACAAACAAACAAACAAAAAAGAAACTCATTGTCATCGAGTTGATTCTGACTCATAACAACCCATGTTAGGTTTCCAAGGTTGTGAATCTTTACAGAAGCAGACTGTTTCATCTTTCTTCCATGGAGCACCTGGGGTGTTCCAACCACTGACCTTTTGGTTAGCAGCAAATGCCTTAACCACTACACCATCACAAAGCAAAGCATATATACAGTATGACATTCTAAAACAAAATGATAAATTTTAAAGAAATTAAGCAGTTGCAACATGTCTACATTATACATATGTAGCAAATGCTACATACAAGCATTTTAAATTATTAATTTCTCTAAAATGTAACAGTATTTGGGCAACCAAGGGGACAGAAATTGAGGCAGTACATTAATGTGATTCATACTACATATTTCTTTTCAATAATTCTTAAAACTTATATTGAAACATAGGAGCAATCTGATCTGTAACAGCTGGAGTGGGTACACTCATCAATTTATCATTTTTTTCAAAGTGAAGTATGTAGGATTTAAATCTCAGTGATCTATGGAAAATTGGCATCCAATAAAATTGCTTTAATGTATTAGTGTTTATGTAATCTTTTTAATCCTCCATCTTGTTGGTCTCTTTATACTCATAGTTATGTTGAAAATCAAAAAACAGCAAATTTCTACAAAGGACTTGGAGAAAGTATTAATATTGATAATATTGATTATTTTTTCATGTTGTTAATATTACTTTGTCTCTACAGACATAATATTATTCAAACACAGGTAATATATAGCATGTTAATTAAGGGAATGGACTTTGAGGCTCAAACACTTATGTTCGAGTTTCAGTCAAACTGGATGGGTAATTACAATAATTATATGTCATAGTATGACTTCTCAAATTTAAATTTCTTCCAAATTCTTTTGAATTTGAGAAAAAAAATTACCTCCAATAATGCTGTGTGTCAGTGAAAAGCAATAGTGTGGATGTTATGAGACAGAGTGTATTTGTTATTTCATTTTACAGCCTTGAGGTGCTTAGAAGTGTTAGTGCTTAACTGACTGTTTATAGACACAGTACACAGGAATTGCTTGATATATTCAGCACATGCAGGTATGTTCAGCACAGAAATGACAGAATTGCATTTCCACAGGTTTCCCTGATATCTAGACAAAACTCTTTTTACCTCTGGAGGTATTCTTCACACTCTTGGTCTCATCCCTTCTCCAAAAATATAATAAGGAGCAGGAATACCACATGTGTGAGGAAATCTTTTCTGTAATAGTCATCTTATCATTACTATCTTATTATCATTTTTTAAAGTGTATGACATAATACTAATTTTTAAGTTCAAATTGGAGTTGAAGAAGTTATACAAGGCAACAGACCACTTTTCTTGGAAAATTCTCCTATAAATATATAAACTCATCGACATCCTAAATAGTAACAGCATAACTAATATTTGCAAGGAGATATATCTTCCTTCATTCCTGTTTTTTTCTCTCACTGAGCAACTATTACATGAAAAGTATAATTAAATAAGAAGAGACTGTATGATATACCACATAGTATTGTCCTTGAGTACCTTTCAATTTGGTAGGGAAAATAATTCTATGGGCAATGAACAGTAGAAAGTATTCTGTATAGGTCATAGAAATAGTATAGACTAGTGTTTTTTAAACTGTGGGTTATGATACAATTAAAGAGTAGTAAAATCTATTTTTACTAGGAGTTCTGGTGGTATAGTGATTAAGGCAATTTGCTGCTAATCAAAAGGTTGGTTGCTCAAACCCACCAGCCATTCCATGGAAGAAAGATGAAGCAGTGTGCTTCCACAAAAATGTACAGCCTTGGAAACCCTGTGGGGGTTGCTATGAGTCAGAATTGACTTAATAGCAGTGAGAAAATCTATTTAGCAGATTATAATCAGAGCTTTTGTCAAATGAAAATGAGGAAAAGAAACAATATTATTTCAAGTAATAAGCATACTGTTTCATGAAGCTTTTTGCTTATGTGTGTGTGTGCCTTTGTCAGTCTGCATGTATGTGAAAATGCAAAATGTATTTCTTACTGCAATTACAGTTAAAACGTTTTGATGTTACTGGATACAAAATACATTGAGCAAGAATATATAAGATGAAAAGAGCACCTGTTCTGGAATGAGCAAGGAATTCTTCATGAGAGAGTTGACATAGGAGATAGACCTTGAAAAGTAAGAAGGATGGGGATAGCCCTGGAGCAGGGCAATGAGAAATATTTACAGAGGACTGCACACAGTTCTGTTTGAGTAGATTTCAAAGTGTTACGGAAGTATGTATGGACATTGGTAAATTACTGGAGGAAGATTATGTTGTTCTTCTTGTTGTTAGGTACCATTGACTAGGCTCCATCTCATAGCATTCTATGTGCAACAGAATGAAACAATGCCAAGTCCTGCACCATCTCACAATCCTTGTTATGCCTTAGCTCATGATTGCAGCCACTGTGTCAATCCATCTCATTGAGAATCTTTCTCTTCTTCACTGACCCTCTATTTTGGAAAGCATGATATCATTTTCCAGAGAATGATCCCTTCTAACAACATGACCAATTTAGGTGAGATGAAGTTTGGCCATTCTTGCTTTCCAGGAGCATTCCAGCTGTACTTCCCCCAGGACAGATTTGTTCATTCTGCTGGCACTCCATAGTATTTTCAGTATTCTTTGCCAACACCACAGTTCAAAGGAACGAACTCTTTGATCTTCCTTATTCATTGTCCATCTTTCATGTGCATATGAAGCAATTGAAAATACCATGGCTTGGATTAGGTGACCTTAGTCTTCAAAGTGGCATATTTGTTCTTTAACACTTTAAAGAGGTCACTTGCAGTGGATTTTCCAAGTACAATATGATGTCTGATTTTTTGACTGGAGCTTCCATGGGTGCTGATAGTGGATCCAAGTAAAATGAAACCCCTTATAATTTAAATATTTTCTCCATTTATCATGATGTCATTTGCTCAGCATACAGATTGAAGAAGTATGGTAAGAGGATGCAACCCATCCTGACTTTAAACTATTTAGTATTGCCTTGTTCTGTTCAAATGACAACCTCTTGGTCTATGTACATGTTCCTATGAGGAAAATTAAGTGTTCTGGAATTCCAATTCTGTATAATGTTATCCATAATCTGGTGTAATCCACACAATCTAATGCCTTTGCATCATCAATAAAACACAGGTAAACATCTTTCTAATATTCTTCATGTTCAGCCAAGATCCCTCTGACATGGAGGAAGATTGTAGATGACCATAAACATCAAACAGAGTATTTGGATTTCATCAATGACATAATGAGGAGCCACGGAAACTGAGCAAACAAATTCTTCCATAGGAAAAGTAACATGAAAAAAAAGAATAAGTAGAGCAGAGAATGAGAAGATACTGGCTGAACTGAACTTCAAATACCCACTTTTATATTTATCAGTGTCTTTCTGCCCTCTTGAAAGAATCATATGAGGTCAATGGATACACACATATAAGGAGATTTAACACAATGTGCAGGTAGGCACCACCATATGAACTATGAATATTGAACATATTGTGGAATACCAGAAAATCAGACAAATTAGTCTCAGAAGAAATACAATATAAATGCTCCATGGGAGCAATGAGGGCAAGACTTTGGCTTGCTTAACTTTGGACACATCATCAGGAAAGACCAATCACTAGAAAAGGAGATTGTGGTTGGTAAAGCAAATGTCAGAAAAAAATGAGAAAAACCCCTAATGAGATGGATTGACACAATAGGAACAACAATGGACTCAAATATACCAATAATTTTGTAGATGACGTGGGATGGGCAATGTTTCATTAGGTAATACATAAGGTTGCTATAAATCCTAGCCAACTCTATGACAATTAACAACAGATAAACACTAGTATGGTAAGGAGCTGAATAGAAGATTTCAAAGAGCAGCAAACAGTGGCTATAGATAAACATGGACTTTACCAGATGAAGTACATAGGAATCAGATTATCTACATCTCTCATAAGAGACAATGGAGAAGCTCAACATCTTCAAACAAAACAAGGCCAGGATCTGACTGTGGAACACACCATCAACTGCTCATATACAAGTTCAAGTTGAAGCTGTTAACATTAAAGTTAAAATAAGCTCATGAGAGCCAAAATATGACCTGGATTTATATCCCTCCCAAATTTAGAGACCATTTAAATAATAGATTTGAGGAATTGAACACTGATGACTGAAAACCAGAGCAATTGTGGGATGACATTAAGAACATCATCCAGAAAGAAAGCAAAAGGTCATTAACAAGATAGGAAAGGAAGAAGAGACAAAAATGGATATAAGAAGAGACTCTGAAACTTGCTCTTGAATGGAGAGTAGCCAAAGCAAAGGAAGAAATGACAAGATAAAAGAGCTAAACAGAAAATTTCAAAGAGCAGCTCAAGAAGACAAAGTCAATTATTATAATGAAATGTGCAAAGACACAGACTTGGAAAACCAAAAGGGAAGAACACAGTCAGTATTTCTCAAGCTGAAAGAACTGAAGAGGAAATTGAAGCCTCGAGTTGCAATATTGAAAGTTTGTATGGGCAATATATTGAATGATGTAGGAAACATCAAAAGAAGATGGAAGGAATACACAGTCACTGTACCAAAAAGAATTGGTCAATGTTCATCCATTTCAAGAGGTGGCATATGATCAAGAACCAATGGCATTGAAGGAAGAAGTCAAAGCTGTGCTGAGGGAAGTGGCGAAAAACAAGGCTCCGAGAATTGATGGGATACCCATTAAGATGTTTCAAAAAACAGGATGTTGCACTGGAGGCACCTACTTGGCTATGCCAAGAGATGTGGAACACAACTAACTGGCCAATTGACTGGAAAAGATTCATGGTTGTACCTATTCCAAATGGGATCCCAAAGAATGTGGAAATTATCGAACAATATCATTAATATCTCACACAAGAAAATCCTACTGAAGATAATTCAAAAACAGTTACAGCAGTATATTGACAGAACTTCCAGAAATGCAAGCTGGATTCAGAATAGGGCAAGGAATGAGGGATATCATTGCTGATGTCAGATGGATCTTGGCTCAAAGCAAAGAATATCAGAAGGTGTTTACTTGTGTTTTATTGACTATCCAAAAGCATTTGATTGTGTGGATCATAACAAATTATGGATAACATTGAGAAGAATGAGAATGAATTTCAGAACACTCAATTGTGCTCAGGAGGATCTTGTACATAGACCAGGAGGCTGTCATTCAAACAGAACAAGGGGACACTGCATGCTTTAAAATCAGGAAGAGAATGTGTTAAGGTTTTATCTTTTCACCATACTTGTTCGATCTCTATGCTGAGCTAATAATACGAGAAGCTGGACTGTGTGAAGAAGAAAGTGGCATCAGGATTGGAGGAAGGCTCATTAACAACCTACATTATGCAGACGACACAAATTGGCTCTCTGAAAGTGAGGATGACTTAAAAATATTACTGATGGAGTTCTGACAAGATGGCGGACTAGGCAGAAGGACTGCACAGACCCTCTTCAACAAAGAAAAGGGAAGCCAATTAACACAGACACAGAAGACAATCTTGGACCCCTGAGCCTTGAAGGGAAGGATACAAAAGTGGACTAAAACCCAACTAGCAGAAGAATTTGTATGAAAATAGCAAAAAACGAGACAAACGGAGCTGCAGTCTGGCAGTGGCCTGAGCAACCCTGACAGCACAGACGA